CTTTTCTCTCCCCCCTTGCTGTCCTGGCTGGATTGCTGCTTGTACTTCACCACTGAGAGATAAGAAACAAAAAACCCAGCTCAGGCCAAACTGAATTTGCAGCCTAACAATGGGGCAGCAGGGATGAGCTGCAGAGCAGGTAATGTTTAAGTATTTCTTCCTTCACTCATCCTCCTCTAGGCCCTAAATTTACAAGAAAAAAAAGATGAATAGGTTGTAAAAAGCAATCTTAGGAGGAGAGAAATGGAGATAGGGAGTGGTGGGGTCTACAGTCACCTAGATGGGGCAAAACCAACAGAAGAGAGTGGACTCTACTGCACTCTAAGCCCTGGGCTCTGTTCCTGAGCAGATCACTCCTCCTTACTTAAATTGACAGAGGTAACACTTCAGTGCCTTCTCCTGACACCTTTCTAATCTAAATAGCTGATATCCTTGTAGAATGATCACAAAAATAAAAAGACACATAGAAATGTATACACTAAATAAAAAGGATCACTATATAAAAAGAGGCATCAACTCAACATTTTAACAACATGAGCTAGAATTAATGAAATAGAGCATCAAGATTTTTTTTCAATTTTTTTTTTTTTTAATTTTAAGTAGGCTCCGTGCCCCACATGAGGTTTGACCTCAAGGGCCTGAGACCAAGAGTTGCATGCTCCACCACCTGAGCCAGCTAGGTGCCCCTAGAACATCAATATTTAAATGTTCTCAAAGATATAATAAGGAAAAATAATGGAAACAAAAGATTGAGAGGATTTGTTACACCGAAAGACTTACAAGTGTCCTCCATGCCCTGCATAGCTTCCTCCCCAACCTCCTCAAATTTTTGCACAAATATCATCTTAGTGTGGCCTATTGATCAGATTATTTTAAAATTATATCCTCGTGTCATTCTTTATTCCCATTCTCTGCTTTATTTTTATCCACAGCACTTACCACTTTCTAACATACTACACAATTTATCTTTCTGCTCTCTCTGAAAACATATTCTCCATAAGGTCATTGATCTGTATCCTTAGCGCCTAGAACATGGCCTAACTCATAGTGGGTACTCACAAATACTTGTTGAACTAGATCAGTAAGTGAAGAAGTGCAAGAGGTATAGGAATAAAGCATAAGGTATTAACTTACGGATCTACTTTCTAATAAAGCCAGGGCAAAAGGTAAAAAGGAAGGAAGGAATATAGAAAGGGGGAGAGAGAGGAAGGGAAGAAGGAAGGGAGGGAAGAAAGGAAGAATAAAAGAACATACACCAACCTGGACTAAAATAATAAATGATATCTATGATGTGAGGATGTTGTGGGTTGGGCACTGGGAGTGGAACCAAAAAGAATTGAGAGGTTGCTAAAGCATTGAGTGTTTAGTTGTAGGTGAGCTGTCAGTAGGGGCCACAGACAACTGAAGGCATGGCTGGAGCACTAGTATCTTCTTTCTCTTGCGGCTATTGGCAGGCCTTGGTAGCTTCCCATGTGGGCTTCTCCATGAGGTTGTGTTGGGCAGGGTATCTTGCTTCCCACAGGAAAAGTGATCCAAGAGAAAGCAAGAGAGAGCAACCAAGACAGGCCACTAGCGTTTTATAACCTAGTATCAGTGTTCACATCCCATCACTTTTGTGTTCTACTTGTTAGAATCCAGGTTTATACAAATAGGTTAAAGACGGGCTCAGTATTGGCCCCTATGTTTTTTTCTTCTTCAGTGCAGACTGTGGCCATTACCCGGCCTGCACCAAAATCCATTTTTTACGCATCCAATTGCTTTAAATATGGACCGAATGAGCATGTATCTCGCCATTTAGAGCCTGCATGCTTTGCATGCCCCATGAAACTGCACTTGACACCTGCTAGCCTTGATGAGACAAATCCTTGCCCTATAGAAGACCCCCAACTGCTTTATAGCTGGCTGTCTGACCTGGAGGCTGTACTGCTGAATGGCCTCTCCTAGACTCGTAAGCCTTTCTCTGATTCTCGTTCTACCTGGGAATTCTTTGCCTTCTTTTTCTGGGTGTTGGCCCTATGCCACTCTTTCTGGAAGGTTTACAGCTGTGAGGGACTTCCCTGCTTACCTGACCTTTCTCAGTGCCACGCAAAGCTCTCTGTGTGTTACTGTCCTCTCCTCACGGCACTTTTTGCCCTTTTCCTCCATCAGCCTTAGATCCTCAGACTCCGTAACCATGTTTCTTTGAGGCTGAATATTTCAGATTGTATTTGGAACTTTATGAATGTTAGATTGCATTGATATCAGATCCATTATAGTCCTCTAAATAATTTTTATTTTTTTTAAAGATTTTGTTTATTTGTCCGATATATAGAGAGAGAGCACAAGCAGGGGGAAGGGCAGGCAGAGGGAGAAGCAGGCTCCCTGCTGAGCAAGAAGCCCGATGCGGGACTGGATCCCAGGACCAGTGTCAGATCCTTATGCCCAGGCTCCACCCACAGGGGCAGTGAGTAAGGTTAAGAACAAAAGTTTCCAAGCCACTGTGGAGATGCCCCAGAACTCTGTTTCTCAAGTCACACAGCAGGGCAAACAGCCCCCAGTCTCTCTTATTCCCTCCCCAACCACTGGGGAGGGAGAGGATTCTGTAAATATATTCTACTACCCCTGGTTGTGTCTCCTCACATGGGGCATGGAGCTCAGCCATTCGTCTTGAGGTGGAGCTGGTTGGAGGTAGGGAGGGCATGGTCAGTGACTCCCTAGTGACTCTGGGAGGACACAGCTGCTGGGTCCCTAAGCACAAAACAGAGGCAGGGCCCCAGGTGTCTGGTTTCCCAGCTGAGAGTTCAACCACCAGACCCTCTTCCCAGGCTGCTCATATCCAAGTTTCTCTTCCTACTTGATTCCTCATACATCAGTACCTAGGGCAGAGTGGTGAGTATTTGGGAGGATAAATTAACATGTTTGTGTGGTTCACTGCATTCACTAGGAAATGAGGGGACCCTGGGGGAGTAGAAGGAGAAGGTACTGGCTGAGGTGAACAAAAGAGAATAAGCACACTTAGGGATCTTCAGAACTAAGGGAATAGAGACGTTCTAGAAGGAGGAAGGAATGTAAGTGTCCACTTCCAAGTAGTAAAGATCTGGACAAATGGCCGTGGCTGTCCTGATATAAGGGCCTTGGTGATTAACCGTGGAGGGAAAGGTGAGAAGGGTGGCAGGAAAGGGAGAGAGAGCCATGAACTTAGAAGAGAAATCTGAATCAGAGATAGGGAAGAGTCTGCACTTCAAAATGGGACTGGAGGAGAAGCAAATAGGGAGATTGGACAGGAGCCCCAGGGACTTCAGGTTTTTTTGTTTGTTTTTGTTTTCTGTTCTTAAAGAAAGAGGGGCCTCTGTTCTCCTGGCAAGATCCAAGCATGGAGGGCTGGGATAGTGCTTCTATAATGTAAACTCAGTTCTTTTTTTTTTTTTTTTAAGATTTTATTTATTTATTTGACAGAGAGGGACACAGCGAGAGAGAGGGAACACAAGCAGGGGGAGTGGGAGAGGGAGAAGCAGGTCTCCCATGGAGCAGGGAGCCCGTTGCGGGGCTCAATCCCAGCACCCCGGGATCATGACCTGAGCCGAAGGCAGACGCTTAACGACTGAGCCACCCAGGCGCCCCACAAACTCAGTTCTTTATGTCAGAGATTTCTCTTAGGTTCTTGTCTGCCAGTGATTCTCCTTATTTATACTATTCATACGGATTTCCTATTATTAAAACATATATGTGGATTTGTGGGGCAAGCTTTTAGAAATGTGGAGCCTCTGCCCTCACTCCTGGCCCACTGAACCAGAATCCACCTTTTACAAGATCCTTGGGTGACTTGCTTACACATTAACGTTTGAGAGACACTGGTCTAATGCAGGCTCAGAGACAACAGTGTGGTTTTGGCTATGCATTGTCCCACATGTCTCAAACTATTCTGCTTCCAACAAACATGTGCAGCAACTAACTTCCTGTTTTCCTATTTGGTGCATTGTATAATCAGGAGTAATGACTTGAGGCTTCCCATTGACAATGGCAGGCATCTCCTCCTTCTGATCTCACAAACTCCACAGAAATGACCAGGAATGTTTTATTAATAATAAGATGATGTAACATCACTCCTTTATTTGGCTAGTAAACATTTGGAATTACCTAAATGCTATAATATTGCATCAGTACTCAAATCAAAATAATAAAAAAAACTGCTTAATATTTATATATATGTTTTAAAGATTTATTTATTTTAGAGGGGGGAGGGGCAAGGGGGAGAGGGAGAGAGAGAATCTCTAGCAGACTCTCTGCTGAGTGAGGAGCCTAACCCAGGGCTCCATCGCAGGACCCTGAGTTCATGACCTGAGCTGAAATCAAGAGTCAGACACTTAATCTACTGACTGAGCCACTCAGGTGCCCCTTGTATATTTTTTAATAAATGGGAAATTACTACATTAATCTTATATGGCAGGAGCTGTATATAAAATGCAGAAATATGAGTGCAAGTTTTGATAACAATTGTGGAAACATTGAGAACAAAAATTAAAGAAAGCATTCAAATTCAGAAATATAGTTTATATTGATTGTAGTTATATTGTTATTAGTAAAGTTTTGGCATAAAGGACCTTTTTGGAAAACTTGGTAATTTTTAATACTTTTGATTTTATACAATACATGAATGCTGCATTAAATGCAACCCAATTAAATAAATGTTAATATATAGAGAGTGTTTCTTCTCTTTGCACTTAACCAGCAAAGTACCTCATGGAGGATGCTCCTTTTAGGAAGAAATGTGTTTGATCTCAGCCCTTAGATCTGATCCAGTTGTTACTATTCCTTTTGGGTTATGAAATAATTGGATTTTGCTTTTCCTGAATTAGTTCCTTCCAAATCATCCATTTAGGGCTAAGGTAGTTAGAAGAGTCAATCCAGACCCTTCCCTTTACCTTCAAAATATGGTTCACATTTAGGCTGCTTCAGAGTTGGTATGTCTGATCATGTGATCTCTTTATCACAAGGGCTGGGGCATGTTTTGTCCTGGTTTCTCATCTGAATCCAACACTGTGCCTAACACCATCATATACCAGCCAGCAGTGGTATTTGCCCTCGTCCTCGGGCTGGGCCCCTGTGAGGGTCAGGGCAGCTTTGCCCCCAAGAAGGGAACCTGAGAACCGGGCAGGGGTCCAGGAGTGTTTGCTGTTTGTGTTGAAAATCAATGTCCTAGGGGATTGGCCAGGCTTCTGCTGGAACCAGTATGGATAGTGAGCATTGGTGACTGCTCCGGTGCTGGAGGCAGAGGTGAGAGTGACTGTCCCTCCTGGGGACACAGTCATTGAAGTCTCCTGGGTCACCACGGCCTGAGAATTGGTCCCTGAAATGAAAATAGACCCATGTTAGGAATGAAGAATAAAGGCAGAGGGATCCCTCCAAAGGCTGGCTTCTGAAATCTCCATGAACCTGGGCAGTGGGTGAGGAGAGGGAGGAGGAGGAGAGGAGTCCAGGCCATGGTTTAGATGTTGGAAGGGCCCCTTGCCCCAGAGCTGAGGCTAGACTCTCTGATGGCTCTTCATCTCCTACTGAGCTTCTGTGGGAACGGGGTGTATTTGAATGTTGCATTATGCAAATCTGAGCCCTCTACCACCCTGTCCACAGCATAGGTCCTCAACCCTGACAGTAGCTACACTGTCAGGGCGGGGTGGTGGAGGGCAGGGGGGTGGGGGGCTGGGGGGCAGGCCAGGGGTGGCCGTGTGCTGTGGATTTAGTCCTTTGTAGGAAACAGCTGCTCTGAGATTTTACTCAGGCCAGGGAAAAGCCGTTCAGGGTCCCTTAAGTGGGAACCACTTGAGTTCCTGCCAGTCCTCTGAGAAGATTTACAGTATCCCCTGCTGGCTGCCTCATGCTAGGGTATGCAGTCTCATTCATTTAACAAATAACTATTGATTTACCTTTTTGACATTGCAACTGTATTTGCCAGGCCATTCTACATGCCCTGCTTGTCTCTTCTTGGCTCATTCCTGTTTGTACTTCTTTATCCAGTTGTTGAGATGCCATCCCAGTGTCAATTGTAGTGTCACATAGTCTTAATTTCTTATCTGAGTGTTTTGAGTGATTAAAGGAATTGTTTCATGACCAGGTGACTCTACCGAAGTTATGAATTTGAACCTTACATTGAATTAACAGCTGGGTGAGGTCGGGTTTTAGTAATTTACTTTGGAGAACTTTAAGAAAACCACCAAAGACTGAAGGTTAAAGTTTTTACTGTGAATTTGGGGGAGACTAAGGTCAGCAGAATGAATTGTCAAGCAAGTCTATAGGACTAAGCATACTGTCCCACCCTCCCCACTATGGATACCCAGGTTGGGTGAGCTTTCTTGGTTGGCAGTGCTCCCCACATAGTATCACACATTGGTGCCAGGAGAAGTTAGCATTGTCTATGACTCCACTGGGAGAAGACATCTGGAAGCTTTTGCTTGGAATCCTCCTGGCCCCAGCCCATGTTGCCTCTTCCTTTGGTTGATTTTAAAGATGTTTGTTTGTTTAACAGAGAGAGTGAGCACAAGCAGGGGGAACAGCAGGCAGAGGTAGAGGGAGAAGCAGGCTTCCCGCTGAGCAGGGAGCCCGGTGTGGGGCTCGATCCCAGGACCCTGGGATCGTGACCCAAGCTGAAGGCAGATGCTTAATGATTGAGCCACCCAGGTGCCCCCCTTTGGCTGATTTTAATCTGCGTCTCTTTGTTGTAATAAGCCATATCTATGGATGCAACAGGTTTCAGTGAGTTATCTGAATCCATCTAGGGAATTATCAAAACCGAGGTGGTCTCAGGGACGGTGGAACTTGCAATTAGTGTCAGAATCAAGGGTGTTTTGGGATTCCCTTGGATTTTTCAGGGTCCAGGCTCACATAAGTTTGTTTTGTGACATCAGTGACATCATTCTGAGTCATAAGGCAAGTCCAAATCTCTTCATTACAAACACTTTGTTGCTAAAAAGTGCTAACCATCATGTGAGCTTTCAGTGAGTCATCATCTTTTTGCTGGTGGAGGGTCTTGCCTCAGTGTTGATGGCTGGTGACTGATAAGGGTGGTGGGTGCTAAAGGTTGGGGTGTGGCAATTTCTTAAAATAATACAATAATGAAGTTTGCCATGTCGATTGACTTTTTTTCATGAACGATTTCTCTGTAGCACACAATGCTGTTTTAGCATTTTGCCCTCAGTGGAACTTCTTTCACAGTTGGAGTCAATCCTCTCAAAGCCTGCTACTGCTTTATAAATAAGTTTGTGTAATATTCTCAATCCTTTGTTGTCATCTCAACAAGCCACACGGCATCTTCACCAGGAGTAGTTTCCCTCTCAAGAAACCAATTTCTTTGCTCATCTGTAAGAAGGAACTCATCAACCATTCAAGTCTATCACAAGATTGTAGCAATTCAGTCACATATTCATGCTCCACTTGTAATTCTAGTTCTATTGCTATTTCTACCATATCTGCAATTACTTCCTCCACTGAAGTCTTGAACACTTCATAATCATGTGTGAAGGTGGGAATCTACTTCTTCCAAACTCCTGTTCATGTTGCTCTTTTGACATCTTCCCTTGAATCATAAATGTTTTCCGTGGCATCTAGAATGATGAATCCTTTCTTAAAGTTGTCCATTTACTTTGCCCAGATCCATCAGAGGAATCACTCTCTATAGCAGCTAATAGCCTTACAAAACATATTTCTTCAATAATGAGACTTGAGGGCGCCTGGGTGGCTCAGTTGGTTAAGCGGCTGCCTTCGGCTCAGGTTATGATCCTGGAGTCCCGGGATCGAGTCCCATGTCGGGCTCCCTGCTCAGCGGGAAGTCTGCCTCTCCCTCTGACCCTCTTCCCTCTCGTGCTCTCTATCTCTCAAATAAATAAATAAAATCTTTTTTTTAAAAAAATAATGAGACTTGAAAGTCAAAATTACTCCTTGCTCCATGGGCTACAGAATGGATGTTGTGCTAACAGGCATGAAACAACATTAATCTCATTATACACCTCCATCAGAGCTCTTGGGCGACCAGGCTGATTGTCATTGAGCAGTAGCAGTAGTATTTTGAAAGGGATCTGTTTTTCTGCACAGTAGGTCTCAACAGTGGGTTTAAAATATTCAGTAAACTATATTGTAAACAGATATGCTGTCATCCAGGCTTTTGTTGTTCCATTTATAGAGCACAGGTAGAATAGATTTAGCATAACTCTTAAGGGCCATAGGATTTTTGGAATGGTTAATGAGCATTGGCTCCAATTTAAAGTCACCAGCTGCATTAGCCCTGATGAGAGAGCCAGCCTGGTCTTTGAAGCTTTGAAGCTTTGGCATTCACTTCACCTCTCTAGCTACAAAAGTACTGGATGGAATCTTCTTCCAATTGAAGGCTGTTTCATCTACTTTGAAAATCATTGTTGGGGTGCCTGGGTGGCTCAGTCATTAAGCGTCTGCCTTTGGCTCAGGTCATGATCCCAGGGTCCTGGGATTGAGCCCCACATTGGGCTCCCTGCTCTGTGGGAAGCCTGCTTCTCCCTCTTCCACTGCCCCTGCTTGTGTTCCCTCTCTCACTGTGTCTCTCTCTATCAAATAAATAAATAAAATATTTTTTTAAAAAAGAAAATTATTGTTTTCTAAAAATTATTTCATGTTTTATTCATTCATTTATTTATTTATTTAAAGATTTTATTTATTTGACAGATAGAGACATAGTGAGAGAGGGAACACAAGCAGGGGGACTGGGAGAGGGAGAAACAGGCTTCCCACCAAGCAGGGAGCCCGATGCGCGACTCAATGTGGGGCTCAATCCCAGGACCCTGGGACCATGACCTGAGCCTAAGGCAGACACTTAATGACTGAGCCAGTCAGGCGCCCTAAGAAAATCATTGTTTAGTGTAGCCACCTTCATGAATTATCTTAGCTAGACCTTCTGGATAGCTTGCTGAAACTTCCACATCAACACTTGGTGCTTCACCTTGTGCTTTTATATTATAGAGATGGCTTCGTTCCTTATAGCTTATGAACTGACCTCTGCTAGCTTTAAACTTTTATTCTACAGCTTCCTCACCTCTCTTAGCCTTCATAGAATAGAAGAGAGTTAGGGCCTTGCTTTGGATTAAGCTTTAGCTTAAGGGAATGTTGTGGCTGGTTCAATCTCACTCTCACTTTCTCCAGATCAGTGATAAGGCTGTTTTGCTTTCTTATCATTTGTGTATCACTGGAATAGCACTTTTAAGTTCCTTCAAGACTTTTTTTTTCCCCCTCACAACTTCGCTGTTTGGCATAAGAGACCTAGTTTTCGGTCTCTCTTGGCTTTTGACATGTCTTCCTCATGAAGTTTAATCATTTCTAGTTTTCTCTTTAAAGTGAGAGATGTGCAATTCTTAATTTCACTTGAGCATCATGAAGCCATTGTAGGTTTATTAAGTGACCTATTTTTAGTATTGTTCTGAATTAGGAAATGGGGAGGCCCGAGGGGAGTGAGAGAGATGGAGGAATGGCTAGTTGGTGGAGCAGTCAAAACACATTTTTCAATTAAGTTTGCCATCTTATATGGGCGGGGTTTGTGGTGCACCAGGACAGTTACAATAGCAGTATGAGACTCCACTGATCATAGATCACCAGAACAAACATAATAATAATGAACAAGTTTGACATATTCTGAGAATTAGCAAAATGTGACACAGAGACATGAAGTGAGCAAATGCTAGAAAATGGTGCCAATAAACTTGCTCAATGCAGGGTTGCCACAAAACTTCAGTTTGTAAAAAGGTAATATTTGTGAAGTGCAGTAAAGCAAAGTGCAGTAAAACAAGATATGCCTGTACCACTATCTTTTATTAGCTGCAGATATGTTTCATAGTCATTCATGACCCTCCCATAAATAAGCTGAGTGTTTACTATCCACAGGAGCATGGATGGCACATGCCATTCTCTCTATCCATCAAGACTGTCATCTCCACCTCCCCTCAGCTGGAGAGTTGATGGAGGAGCCATTCTCTGGCCTAAATTTTCTGAGCTATCAGACTTTGTCACAGTCATTTCCTGACTTTGAGATGGCGAGTTTGTCCACAAAGATTATGGGGAACTCTCCCAGAGCAACCAGATACGGAGGAGTGAAGGAGGCATGATTGGTCAGAGGCAGAAGGTGATGCAGTTGCAACAAAGTGGACACTCCCATCATGGGCTCTAGAGTTGACAAGCCCTTTCAGGGTCCTGAAGTGGGATGAGAGGGGTAGAACCTGGTAACTATGCATCATTCAGTCTTTGAATGCAAATTGCACCTAGAAGAGTTGGTGGGCTTGGATGAACCCATAACCCATAACCCATAACCAAGGGTTAGTCTCATAGCATGATTCAGGGGAGACCTGTTGGCTGGTTACACTAATTTGCTGGAGAAGGCATGGTTTAGTCCTAGAGCAGGGCATTATGGCAGGGCACCACTACATCCATTACAGTCCACTTCGTGCCCATGCTCAGATCCCCAAGCTTCATACAGTGAGTCTTGGGAGCAATTCTTCCTTGCTCTGGTTTAGTCTCTTTTCCAGATGGAAACTTGAAAGAGGTCATTCACTGGGATGAAATGCAGATCCTGCTGCTGAAGTTGGGCTCAAGAATGTAACCAGTGCTAATTGTCCTCTGTCTCCACCACCCATTTTAGATTTGCCTCAACTGTGATGAGCACCTGGGCAAGTTGAGGTGCCTTCCCTGGTGAGGTTACCCAGATTCTCATACTTGAGTGTGAACCCAGTCTCCATGTCTTTCTCAGAACTATACTGTTAGATCTATCCACCTATCACCCAAATTAGACAAAGAAGGCATATCAATAGATACCATTCATGTCAGCCACAAAATTTTCTCTACTCTATCTTGATGATCAGGCTCAACTCTTCCTGCCAATTTGGTGGTTTCTCTCTTTGTCTGTTGTTCTGTTGTCATGAAGGGTGCCAAGTCACCCAATGGAGCTGAAATTAAAGTTTGTTGGAACCCTTGCTCTATCTTCTCATGTATGCATTCATGTATAGAAATCTTGACATCCAAACCCATACCTTCAGAGTTGTAGGGAATGAACACACAAATTCCCCAAATGGATCACCAGTTGTGATGAATAGAGGGACTTCTTCTATATGTACCCTGTAGTACCAGGAGCCATATGATTTTTTCAATGCAGGACATAGCACCATCAATTAATTATGCCTTAGGGTGACTATGCATTCTCAAATATGGCTCCCTAAGCAGAAGGTGTGTCTTGGGTTGGTATCTCTGTTGCAATTTCAACTGACTTGGTATTTATACCTTCAAGTCTGTCATTGAATGTGGGATTCCTTGGGATCAGCATGTCACTCTCTGCAGATGAGTTTAACCCTTAAATTGCTGACAGCTTGAAGCTGACCATTGAGCCTTCACAATAGCAGGGGCAAAAAGCATTTCTTTGAAGGGGGATCTGAGTTTACGTATGCTGACATACCTGTGTCTACCAACTGGGGTGGGTGAGACACAATCATTGTAATACATTAATTGAAGCAAGGAACTAAAGGTCCAACTGATCCTTATTAAAACTCTTGACCAGGGGGCCTGTTTTCTTCATGATTTCTACACAGCCCCTGAGAACCTAACCCTGTGTTCTTTTGGGATGCTATAGTGAAAACTGGCTCGTAACTCATGAGATTTCTCCTTGACAGGCTACCAGATTTCAGAATTTCCATTCTGTCAGATCAGTTTGTAAAGAGGGCCTGCTTATCTACATCCATTGTGTAAAATTATTTGATATCTCCACTCCATATTATTCTCCTGTGCAAAATTTCTTGATAGCTCATTCTTTTATAATTTTAAACATTACCTTGCAAATCTTTTACAAGATGTTTTTAGGGAAAGGAATAAGGATCAACCATGGGGGAAGGAAACTTGAGTTAGAGGGAAATGACACTTGCCTTTCTAATGTACAATCCCCAACCTCCCCATCATCCTGCCTAACCATCACAGCCTTGCAGGAAACACTGCGGAGTTCTTCAGTCTGTGTAGGGAACACACACAGAGGGCAGAGGGGCAAATTCTAGTCTGCTTTTCTTTTCTAAAGTTCTTTTCTGCCTTCAAGACACAGGGAAGATCAGTTTTGTAAATTGGATTAAGATGCAGGGAAAGAAACTGCATTTCTAGAGTATAAATCATCTTATACTTACGTTAAAATTTTGCATTTATTACCATATTTTGGAATTAATCCTATTCTTTTTGGATTGTTTTCATTCTATTTTATTTTAGACTTTCCTGCAAGTCAGTGAGAGGGAAATGTGATTATTTCCCTGGTTCCCCTTAAGTGTCACCTTATATATTCTGCTGCTAAGTTTATCATTACACATAGAATATCATAGCTATATAGTATGAAACTTTTCTCTTGGTAATTAAGTGCTGGCTGACCCGAATCCGGAGTTGGGTATGGTAAGTGTGTGCGCGCGCGCGCGCGTGTGTGTGTGTGTGTTTATTTTGCCACTTCTGTTAATAACCAGCCAACTGATGATATATATCTTTGTATTGGCTTTTATGCATGTGTTGTTATCAAAAAATAGTGAATTAAAAACAAAACATTTAGAAACCTACAACATGGACTTGACTGCTTCCTCTGGGACCATGGAGATCAAACTCCCTGGGCCCACAGTAGATAGGTGCAGCCTCTGTGATCAGAAGATGGGTGATATTGGGAGCAGAGGGTGAGACTGAGCCTGGTGGTTTGTGTCTCACTTCTCCATCTGCCTCTGTCTCTGTGTCATAGTTGCTGTACAGAGCACAGTAATATTGGGCCTCATCCTCTGTCTGGGCCCCAGTGATGGTGAGGGCAGCCTTCTGTCTCACCAGGGAGCTGGAGAATCGGGCAGGTACCCCTGGGTTTAGGTTGCTAGTGCTACTTATCAGACCCTGGGGTACCTGGTAGGGCTTCTGTTGGACCCAGCTCACATGATTACTGGTGGTAACAGCCCTAGTACTGGAACCACAGGTGATTGTGACTGTTCCTCTAGGGCTCATGGACAGTGAAGTTTCCTGAGTCACCATGGCCTGGGAAGTGGCTCCTGAAAACAGGGGAGAGACCAAAGGTCTGGAGGAAGGACAGGGGCATGAGGGTGCAGTGTGGCCTTTCCCACCCCCCAACCCCCAAAGTCCCCCAACCCTGTGCAGTGAGCCAGAAGTGTGAGCGGGAGAAGAGCCCAGACCATGGTGGAGATGCCCCAGTGCTGAGCTTCTCAACACCTTTTAGCAGAGTCAGCCTGCACAGTTCCCATTATAACTACTACCACCTGCGGGGGCAGGGCTTTCATGCAAATGTGCTCCCCTCCCAGGAGTTCTCAGCAACAACAACATGGCCAGGTCACAGCTACTGAGCTGTTGCATGTCAGTGGGACCCTGGGCCTGGAAGACTCACGATCAGCCCTCCTCTTCCATGTCTGCCTCCCAATCCCCCCCGCCCCCCGCCGTATCCTTTGTTGATGGAAAGATGCACTCCTGCTGGCTTTCCCTTCTTCTCTCCTCTAATTCTCAGATCTGCCCTTTGTATTTCTCTGAGAAGGTGACTTTCAAGGCCTGGGGTTCTCCATACAGGAACCTGGTGAAGGAATCTGAGGACATGGTGGCTTAAATGCCCCACTGACTTTCTTTCTTCTTCAGGCCAATTCACACAGCAGCCATGTCTGATGAGTGGGAGAACCAGGATCTTGGGTGCTGCTGATGTCGCAGCTTAGGTCCCCCTTAAACCCAGCTACTCTTGTGTATATCCAGGCACATTAATGTGTCAACTATCCCATAGAAGTCTCTTCCAGAGCTCAGGAACATTCCAGAAATTACATTTGAATATTTTATAGTTTCCTATTGCTCCAGGTCTATAACAGATGACATGGCAATGATCTTATTAGTGCTTGCCAAATATTCTACCTGATTTCTTATTATTCTCTTTTTCTCATGACAGACAGCTGTACTAATGCAAGGTCATATGGCTCCAATGGCTGAAGTGTTTGCCTCATACAGAGTATGCAAGACACTCATTTGTCTCTGATTTTTCAAACCTAGTCTCTTTCTTGGTCTGCTGAAAATGTGTCACAGCAATTTCTCCAATTGTAGAGTATATGCTTCCAGAACCAGAATAAGCCTAGTAAAGTGTTGTGATTCCTTTTTGAGGATGAAAATTGTGAGATATAATGCTTTATTTTATATTTAGAAGTATCTAAAAATGTTCTAGACTAGGGAATCCCTAGGGGACTGGTGGACTCACTGGTGTGATGGGCACCTGATTCTTTATAGGGTGGGTCCCCCATCCTCAGGAACTTTGGTGTCTTACCAAAGACTTTGATATACTTCCACCTCTTGCTCATCTTGTTCAGTTAAATCAATGTCAGCAATATAAGGCATCATTGTGAAGTTCTGTACAACATGCGGATGGTCCAGTTTTCTTGGAGATATGTTGTCTATGAGGAAAAGTAAAAACAGTTTTTGGGCAACACTTTAAGTGTACTATTGTCCACTCTATGTGAGTGTGAAGAGCATCTGATACTCCATATGCCAACGGATAAGTATGGAAAAGTGTGCATTCACCAGATTTATGGCTCTATACCATTTAACTGATTTAGTGTTAATTAATGTACTCTAGAAAATATACCACATCAAGCAGAGCAGCTTCAGTTGGGATACTACTTGTCTGAGTTCATAATAGTCCACCTTCATCTGGCAGGATCAATGTGCTTTGATTGTTGTTGTTGGCAGTTTTTGTTTAGAAACCAGATTGATGAATTGAATGCAGGCATGTTGGGGACTCATACCAATGCATCATTAAGGGTAACCCTAATCTCTGCTATTTTCCCACAATAATAATATTTTGTAAATTTCTATCTTGAAGAAAATGGAACAAGACATGGTTCCAGAGGCTTTGTTTGGCCTTCTCAAATACCCATAGTCTTACTTCTTGGCCTACTTCACCAGGCCAATAAACAAGTATGGAGATTCTGCTGATGGTTATGAATATGTCCCCTGGGTGATTCTATGGATCCAACAGATTTGCTGTAAACTGTACCTCTAGTAGATGGGATATGCAGTTATCCCCACTGTAATGGAGGGCATGGAGATGCTTTTGGTTCCTGACTAGGAATGTCATTTGAAATGTGTTCAACAATACTCAAAATATCTGTATAGTTTCTCTTCTGCAAGCTATGGTCCATTAAATGACCCAGAGATCACTTTGGGGCAGCAGTGTGAGAATCATTAGCATGTCTGTTGGCCAAGTGGTGAATTCCTCACAGAGTTCCAGCCTAAATTTCAGTTAAAAGCTTCAAGGTGGGCACTTGGGCGATTCAGCTGATTAAACGTTTGCCTTTGGCTCATGTCATGATCCCAGGGTCCTGGGATGGAGCCCAGCCTTGGGCTCCCAGCTCAGCGGGGAGTCTGCCTCTCCCTCTCCCTCTGCCTGCCACTCCCCCTGCATGTGCTCTCTCTCTTTCTCTCTCTCTCATAAAAAATTAATAAATAAAATCATTTTAAAAAAAAAAGCTTCCAGGCACCTGAGTGGCTCAGTTGATTAAGCATCTGCCTTCGGCTCAGGTCATAATCCTGGAGTCCCCAGATCAAGTTCTGCGTCAGGTTCCCTGCTCAGTGGGGAGTCTGCTTCTCCCTCTGCCCCTCACCTGGCTTGTGTTTTTTCTCTCTCTCAAATATAAGTAAGTAAGTAAATAAATAAATCTAAACAAACAAACAAAAAAAAAACCACAAACCTTCAAGGCATTAAAAATGGCTTGAATCAATAACCTGGGCAATAAGATATATTATTTTATTAGGGTGGCTATACCTAGTCCCTTGTACATCCATTCTTTATCTTTTGGTTGTATAGACTGACAGCATCCTCAGTGGCTACTCTCTGCCCTGGGGCCTGGAATGCTGGGCCCCCATAGCCATGCCCACTGCATTCTGTGTGTTAGTTTTCTCTGACTGCTGCTCTTTGCCATAATTTTATCCACCCTCTTTTAATTAAGACATTTTTCTGCCCTCTAATTTTTAGGGATCATATGATTCTTGTTGCCATCAGACAGAACAATTCAGTAATGGATTCCTACTCTGAGACCTGGCCAACCAAGAACTACATGAGTGAGCAATGAGGTCAATGGGGACAGAGGAGCCAAGGATGCTGTATGTACTATGAGCACACCTGTGAAAGGCTCAACATCCTCAAAACTAAAAACCCATCAGGGAGCAGGTGAGTGGTTTGTACCCACAAACTGTGAAACAAAAGTTTATGCCCTCATGATTCCAGAAATGCCTGAGAAAATATTTTGCAAAGCAAAGCAACATTTGCTGTGGACTGAGACCAGATAGGGCATGCAGAGACAGGACTGTCACAGACAGGTGCTGATTCCCAAAATATCTCAGAAGGTGAACATTCTCAAAGCAGGGTGAGGAAGTGAACAGGGAGTCAGCCAAGGGGAGGAACATGGGTCCCGGGGCAGATCAGCCATGAGGTTTGGTCTCACTCGCCCTGCTGTCACACTGTGGGGAGGGAAACTGCTCCACTATCATGGTTTGTTGAACAGTTGGAGTCATTATCATCTTCTTCCTGGATATTCTGAATGTTCAGGTCCCAAACTAGGTCAGAGCTGGATGTGAGAAGCACTGATTATGGAGGGAAACTCCCAGAAATGATACAGTGGAGGAGAGAGGGGAGGGAAGGGCAGGAGGGCTTCTGTCGGAACAGGGGGCATCTAACCCTGGGATATGTGGACTGGGGGTTCTTCTGTAATCCAAAGACTTTAGTTCTTTCTGTCAGAGACTTCTCTTCAGTTCTTCTCTGCAGATCACTTCCCTCTTATGCCATTCTCCATGATTTAGAAATGCAGAATCTCAGGCCCCTCTCCAGACTCAAAGGAATCCGAACCCAAATTTTACAGGATTCCAGATGATTCATATGCACATTGAAGTGTGAGACTAACCGATCTAACACATGTAGGAAGGCCACACTTTGTTTTTGGTGACTCATTGCTTTTCACGTTTTAATCAATTCTGTTTTCCAATCAGCCTCTCCAGGACATGAACTCTCTGTTTTACCATTTTGTGCATTTTATGTCCAGAGTATTGTACACAGGGTTTCCCATTGAAGGTGGTAGGCATCTCCCTCTTCTCTGACTAGATCCAGATGCATTTTAATAAAAGCAAGATAATCTTCACAACTTCACAATTTCAGTCTTTAGCCCTGGTAATCAATTGGAACCACCTGATGGCTACCTATATTTCTTTTTTTTTTTAAAGATTATTTATTTATTTATTCATGAGAGACAGAGAGAGAGAGAGAGAGGCAGAGGGAGAAGCAGGCTCCCAAGGAGCAGGGAGTCCGATGCGGGACTCGATCCCAGGACCCTGGCTACCTATATTTCTAATGCAGGTTTTAAGGTACTATTAAGCAGTAATTGTATATTTATAGACTTTTAAGCTCAGGATAAATTACTTGTAGTAACCATCCATGACACTAGCAGTGCTCAAAACATGAGCAAAAATATGAAATATCAGCAAAACTATGATCACAATTGTGTAACAATTAAAAACCCATTGGGAAGAAAGTGTTTAAATTCAGAAAGATATTGACTGTTTGATATATTGGGTTCCTAGGGCTGCCGTAACAAAGTAGCACAAATGGGGTGCTTCAGTTAAAAGTTACCGTCTCCCAGTTCTGGAGGCTAAAAGCTCCAGATCCATAGGGTGGGGCCATGTACCCTCTGAAACCTGCAGGGGAATCTTTCCCTGCCGCCCCCTGACTTCTAGTGGTTTGAGGGCAATTTTTGGCATTTCCTGGGTGCATCTGCAAACTGCAAACTCTGCCTCCAGCTTCCCACGGTGTGCTCCTTGTCTCCATGTGGCTGTCCTATTATAAGCACACCCCTCATACTGGACTAGGAGGCCACCTTCCGCCAGTATAGCCTCATCTTAACTAATCGCATCTATGACAACCCTATTTTCAAATCAGGTCACATTCTTAGGTCTTGTGGGCTACAACTGCAACATATGTTCTTTGGGAGGATGCAATTTATCCCAGAATATTATGGAAAAAGAGTCCTTCCAAAATGTTTATAATTTTTAATATTTAAAAGAAGTATAGAATATATTTGCATTGCATTAAAATGCAACCTAATTTAAAATAAACTTTATGTTAATTATTTTAAAAATTTTGGGAGGTTTATTTATTTACTTAAATAATCTCTGCACCTAACGTGGGGCTTAAACTCAGACCTTGAAATCAAGCATCCCACACTCTTCTGACTGAGCCAGCCAGGCTCATGAAACTTTAGAAATATACTCAGTGAGGGTTTCCTCTGTTCTTGGCTGTCAAGGAATATTGGAATTGTTCCTTTTTTCTGGAGGAAATGTGTTTTAGCTCAGGTTTTAGTTCTGATCCAGGCACATACAAATCCTTGCCTAATACAAAAGAACTGAAATCTGTTTTTTTGTGGACCAGTTCCTCCCAAGACATTCATATATTTACTGCACTTTAGGACTCAAACAGGAATGGGAAGCAATTCAGACCCTGCCTCTCTGTGACTCTAAGGATGGTCAACATTTAGGCTGCCCTGAGAGCTCAGGTGTCTGGTCATGGGATGCCAGCCTCACGCGATCTTATTTGTACCCACAAACTGTGAAACAAAAGTTTATGTCTTCCTTCCTCATCTGGGTCTCTCACTGTGCTTACCATCACCATATTGTAGGAAGCAGTAGTACTCAGCCTCGTCCTCGGGCTGGGCCCCTGTGAGGGTCAGGACAGCTTTGCCCCCAAGGAGGGAGCCTGAGAATCGGGCAGGGGTCCAGGAAGGTTTATTGTCTGCATTATAAATCAGTGTCATAGGGGATTGGCCAGGCTTCTGCTGGAACCAAACTGGATAGTGTAAATTGCTGACCGCTCCATAGCTGGAGGCACAGGTGAGAGAGACTGTCTCTCCTGGAGACACGGTGAGTGAGGGCTCCTGAGTCACCACAGCCTCAGAACTGGTCCCTGAAATGAAAACAGACCCATGTTAGGAATGAAGAATAAAGGCAGAGGGATCCCTCCAAAAGCTGGCCTCTGAAATCTCCATGAACTTGGGCAGTGGGTGAGGAGGGGGAGGAGGAGGAGTGGAGTCCAGGTCATGGTGTGGACTTTCCAGAGGTCCCCTGGCCTTACAGCTGGTGCTGGTCTCTGGGATGTGTCCTTTATCTCCTCCTGAGCTCCAGGGAGTAAAGGGTGTGTTTGGTGGGGCATTATGCAAATATGAGCCCACAGTGCCATTTGATTCTGGCTCCTAGGCCCATCTTGTAGCTTAAATCCAAAGAGAAGGGCTGGGGAAGTTAAGAGCTCTGAGTTTGTCCCCTGGGAGGAAGCAGCTGCGGTCGCCTTTCACTCAGGCAGTGAGCAAGGGTGCAAGGCTCAGTCAGGTGCAACCATTTCAGTTGGTTTCAGGCCTTGCCAGCTCTGAGCAGGTGCACAGCGCCCCCTGGTGACATCCCCAGGAGACTACTCCTGGGGGTGGGAATTAGGCCGGCATGCAGCCCATTTGTGCTTTCAACAAATACATAATAAATAGGTGTTACCTACTCTTGAGTCTCTCCAGAGAGTTTTCTTTTTCAGTGTCATCTGTTGTATTTTAAGTTCTATAATTTCAGTTTGGTGTGTTTTGATGACTTGCATTTCAACTGCATATTTCTGTCTTTTCCATTTATTCTAAGACTGTTTGTAGCTGCTCCTCAGATGGATTTTCTGCTTGTTGCCTGAAAATATCTGTCCCATAATGTCAGCATGTGAGTGATCCCAGTGTTGGTGAAAGTTGATTCTCCTTTCTCACTCAAGGTTTGATTTTCCTGGTTCTTGACAAGACAAGTGATCATTTTTACTGGATCCTGGATATTTTTGGATGTTTATCAAGTAATGCTGGGTATCCAGTTACCTTCCTTCAATCATCAGGTGATCCTCCCCTTGAGGATCAGCAGGAGGTCAGGGGTTGTATGTCAGTTTCCCAGTGGCCCCAGGGAAAGTGGAGCGCTCACTCCCACAATTTTGCTGCTGACTCCTTGCTGGAGAAAGTGTAGAAAGAGAGTCACCTCCCAGAGCCCAACATGGGGGTGGGTGGTGTTGTGGGATAAGCTCTGAGCTGGGCCCTGCTGACCCCAGAGAGGGATGCCCAGGCCTGAATGGAGGTGCAGAGGATGGATGCTCAGCAAACTCAATGGGCTCTGTGCCCTCACTGACACCAGGGAGGGGAGGGGTCAAATGCTGGGCCAGCTCCCCTACCTTCCAGCCCCTTTTTCAGTGTGTTCATGCCAGGTAGGAGTCCAGGGTCTGCTCTTTACTGGCCCCACAGTCACCAGCAGGGGTATAGGAGTCCAGACCAGCTTTGCCTTATAGCACCCCATTCAGTCTTCCTGCTGAGGGATGGGCTTCAGATGAGCTTCCCGGGACCTGCCAAAATCATGGGTGGGAAGAACTGGAATGCTAAAGTAGCCTACTGGCCCCGCGTTGCCCAGGCTTGTTGACGCTCCCATGGGACGGAGGCTCAGCTTTCCACTGAGACCAATGAAACTGCACAAGGTGGGCAATGGGACACTGCCCTTTTCTGCCAGAAGGGGAGGGATACTAGGTGTCTGCTCAGCACTGCTGTGAGCCTTGCATGAGGGCACAGTTTGGGGATTCATTAGTGTGTGCAGATGGGTGATGGGCAGGTTTGTGGAAATATTTTCTCTGCTCAGGCCAACTTATATCCAGATCCTCTGGCCATGGGAGTTGGCATTTTTGGAGTTTTGGTGGATTTTATTTTCTTTTTCCCATTCTGGCCCTCTGGGTGATTCTTGGTTGGAGGCTCCTGCAGCATCTTGTCTTACATGTTGGGGAGGTGATAGAAGAGAAGAAATCCAGGGAACTCACTGCTGTGTTTTCCTCAACTGTTGAGGTCTGTAGGAAGTCTTCCTTCTTCCTTCTACCTTCTGGAGTTTTCCTATACTTGTTTGTATTTTGTCCAGAAACTTCTAGTTTTAAATGAGAGGACCTGGTTGATTGGGAGCACTTCCTCTTGGTCAGAACTGGGAATCCTGGTGGTGCCTGCTCTGAATGATTTCCTCCAGTGGTAGGATGGTGGAGTTCCTGCTTAGCTCATGCTGTGGAGGCGATTTATCATGATTCCTAAGCTATAGAAATAAAAGGTAATTTGAATATTATTTTTACATTGTTCTTTACAGAAGAATAAAAAGAAAATACATTACATGACCAAGTATTGGGTGTGAAAAGTTTTATAGGCAGTGCTGGGACCCAGTACAGCACAAATGTTGGGCTTTGGTCTCTTAAACACGGAGGAGAAAACAGGATATATTTTTATTCTTTTTTTCCCCCCATGTGTTTGTGTGTTGAACTTTTTATTCTGTAATAATTTTACAGTGACAGAAAAAATGCAAAGGTAGTACAGAGATCTCTCATATACCTTTCACCCAGATTATTCTAATGAAAACATCATGCATGACCATGACATATTTATGAAAACAAGAACTGAATAGTGGTCCAATGATATTAAGGAGATCGCAGACTTTATCCAGATCTCACAAATTTTTGCCTCTGATGTCGTTCTTTGTTCCTGGATCCGGTCCAAGTAACCACACTGCATTTATTCATCATGACATATGGAAATCCTCCAATGTGTAAGGTTTTCAAACTTTTTTGTTTTCTTGACTTTGGGAATTTTGCCTAACCGCCCATCCCCAACATCACATCTGAAGGCTCAGGTACCCAGCAAGGGATCCAGGCGAGCGCTGTGCCTGAAATTCTTCTTTGACCTGCATCTTCACACAGCATCTCACATTCTAGTGCTTTATCCCTGGACACAGTGAACCTCAGCCAGCCCTGAGCACAGGAGCCTGGGAGGGAAAGCAGGGTCTCTGCTCTGACCCCTGGAATGGAAGAGGCCATGCTGTGGAGGACTGTCCCCCTGCTGGGATGGTCCTCAGGCTCTGACCAAGAAACCTAAAAACGTTGGTTAGCTGTTTAAACAAATAAACAAACAAACAAACAAACAAAATGCCAGCTCAACAGGCTCTGATTATTACAACTTGGACCACCAGGCAAAGTTTCTGTATTATCATGGGTTTTATGTTTGTTTTCCTTTCTCCTGAGTTCACATAGGTTGCATAAGAAACTGGGAGGAAAGATATTGTGATCCAGAAGTTACTTCCAAGTACAGTCAGTGTGAATTCAAGTTATTTTAAATTGCAAGAGAATCAGCGTCCACGGCCCTGAGCAGGCTGAGTTATTTGTCCCACTTCCCCATCTGTGTGTGTCCCTGTGACCAGCACTGCTGTGCCAGATCTGACAGTAATAATCGGTCTCCTTCTCAGGCTGCAGGCCCGAGATGAGCAGAAGCCCTGCATTGGCTGGGGCATCTTTGGATCCAGAGAAGTGGCTGGGGACCCCGGAGCCCTGGTGCTTATCTGAGTCTGAGGAGTACTACAAGGGATACCGAGGAAGGGCTCCCTGGCTGCTGCTGGTATCAGTTTTGTAGTAGCTCCCAACACTGATGTCCTTGCTCAGGGTACAGGCGAGTCTGGCTGTTGTTCCAGGAGGAACAGAGAGGGAGGGCGGCTGGGTCAGCACAGGCTGGGACAGGGAACCTGCAAACATAGACACTCATGGGTGATAGAGTAGAGACCAGGGTAAAGCTTCTCAGGATCTGAGCCACAGGGCCAGATACCAGCTGGAGGGCTTCCCTGTCTCCCTGAGATCTGTCCCTACCTTTGCCGTGAGTGAGGAATATGAGGAGGACAGGAGTCCAGGCCATGGTGACACAGACGCTGGTCCCCATAGTGGGCTGGGCTGCCCCAGGCCTCCTTCTCTCCCCCACCCTCTGCCATTGGAGGGGCTGTCCATGCAAATGGGGTCCACCCAGTGACTGCCCAGCCCCTCCCTGAGCCCTGGTGCTGGGGCTCAGCTCACAGACACACTGAGGAGGATGGGGGTTGGCTTCAGCCCAGGGGAGAGCCCTGGGAGGAAGCACCTGCTGAGACCACCCACAGGTCCCTGCTCAAGGGACTCTGCCAGGCCAGAGAGGACACAGCTGCTGAGTCCCCATCAGGGAGCACAGGGTGCAACCTCCAAGCCCAGGCTTCTTTGCTTGAATGGTCCTCATTGAGCAGCTGTGGAGGGACCACAGGGCAGTTCCACAGCACCCCCTGCTGGTCACAGGTTACACACTCACCAAGGCCCTAAGCCCTGAAAGTCCAGCTGGTTTCTGCAGCTCACCAAGGTCTGGATCTATATTCACGTCAGTGGTCTGATTCTTAGAAAGTGAGGCCCATAGTGCTGCCCATGAATACTGTTGCATGTTCCACTCTCAGAAGGAGTCCTGGCTTATGGGAGATGCAAACATTTACCTAAATTAAAACTTAAGTTGCTGGCAACCCAGAGAAGATAACTGCACCCATCATCTTCCTCCATTGGTCTGGGATTTAAAATGCGCATGTTTTCAGTATTTTAAAACTCCTGTGCATTAAAGCAATGGGTTCCAACTACTCTCTCATAAATTGAGTTTTGTTTTAATCATCTATTTGTCAACTAATTTCATCATCTTACTAATTTACAAAGTAAAGGAAAAACAATGAATTTATTTTGATGGAGTACAATATCATTTTTTATTTTAAAGATTGTGCTGTTGGTGTCTTGTCTAACCATGTTTATACAAACTCTAGATCTTGAAGATTTTCTCCTATACATATATAGCTTTATGTTATACAGTTATGTCTATGATCCTTTTAGTGCATTTTTTCATAAGGTGAGAATTTGAGGTGAGATTCATTTCCCCCTATGGATAGCCAATAGTTCTGTGACCATTTCCCCAGGAGGCTATCCTCCCTCCTCTGCAAGACTTTTGCAACTTTGTCAAAAGTACTTGTCCATACTTTCTTAGGTCGGTTTCTGGGTTTTCTGTTTTGTTCCATTGACCAATGTGTCTACCCTCCATCCATAACACTCTGTCTTGTTGTGATAAGGGTTGAATTAGACTTTTATATAATTTGGGAAGAGATGACATCTTTACTATATTGAGTCTTCTCATCCATGAACAGAACATGCCTCTCCATTGTTTTAATCCACTTTGGTTACATGTATCAGGATTTCAGCAACCATGGCTTGTACACATTTTGTTAAATATGCACCTAAAAATTTCATTGTTGAGTGGTTTTAATGGTATTTTAATTCAGTTTTCACATGTTTATTGCTAGTCTATACACATTTAAATGATCTTTCTAGGGGTGCCTGGGTGGTTCAGTTGGTTAAGCATCTGCCTTCAGCTCAGGTCATGATCTCCAGGTCCTGGGATCGGGCCCTGCGTTGGGCTCCCTGCTTAGTGGAGGGTCTGCTTCTCCCTCTCCCTCTGCCTTTCCCCTCCCCTTGTGCTCTCTCTCTCTCTCAAATGAATAATGAATAGATAAAATCTTTAAAAAATGATCTTTCTAAGTTGATCTTATATCATACGACTACACCTTCCTGAAATTACTAATTATTCCTCAAGTTCATATTTATATACCTATTTGTAGTTTTCCTTGTATTTTTCTGGTGGACCATTCTCACCCCTGAAAATAGGGACAATGTCTCTTGCTCTTTAGTCTCATGCTTCTCATTAATTTTCTTGCCTCATGGTTCTGTCTGGAGCATCGTGTCCTATGTAGAACAGTAGTGTTGAGATTGAACATGAATGCCTTGGTCCCGACCTGAGGACAGAGCTCTCAGTGATTCATCTTCATGTGTATTAGCTATCAGGACTTGATAGTTTTCTTTATCACACTGAGGGTGTGCTCTAGTTTTCATTATCTGAGAATTTTTATCCTATTCATTCAATCATTCACATTTATTATCATGAATAGGTTTTGAATTGTCATATGCTTTTTCCATATTGATTGATAAGATCATGGGACTTTTCTCCTTTAGCCTGTTAATACAGGAGATTCCATTGATTGCTGTTTGAATATAAAACTGTCTGAATATAAAACCTTGCATCCCCACAATAAACCCCATTTGGTCATAGTATATACTCTTGTTATACTAAACATAACTCAATTCTGTTTTCTAATATTTTCTTTAGAATTTTTGGGCCTCTATTTGTGAGGGATATTCCATTTGTTTCTTTGTTTTGTGGCAAGAAGCTGTTGGTAACAGCTAGCAACTGAAAAATTTAAAATCATTGTCTTAGCCAAATTCAGCATTTTGATCCACAAATGAGGAAGACCTAGTCATTTATTCAAGTTTTCTTTATTCCTTTTACAATGTTTTGTAGTTTTCCGTGTATAAGACTTTCAGTTTTTCTAAAATATATCCTTAAGAATTTCATTATTATGGAATTATAAATGGCATTGTTTTTATTTTTAAATGTTGATGGCTTATTGCTTCTGTATAGAATACCATTCTTCTCTGCATGTTGGTTTTGTAAGTGGAAGCCCAGACTGAAGCCCTTAGACTGGAAACATCTGTGAGCTGCCACCAGAACCAGAACTGGAATCAATACCGTTTGGCCTCTCACACCTCCTTTGAGTAATTTTTATTTCTGAGCAGGGAAATTTTGCCTTTGAAAACATGAACATGATGAGAATGTGTCATCATCTGTTTCCAGGAAAACAAAGGATCTGTCGAAGATCTGACAAGTGAAGTCAACCCCTGAGCCACCTGACAGGTAATGTCACCAGACCCAGAGAGTGGAGGGGGATTTTGTCTCACTTCCCTGTGGGTCCAGAGCATTGCATTGTCTTGGCATATGTGACAGCAATAATCTCCTTGCCCTCATGCTGGAGTCCAGAAATGTCAGAATACCTGAACTGGTCGAAACATCTTTGGATCCAAAAAATGACAGGGAACCTGGCATCCCCGATGTGTATCTGACTCTGAGTTGAATCTAGGAGATACTGGGGAGGGCTCCCTGGCTTCTCCTGGTGCCAGTATGCATGCATACAGGCATATAAATATATCTATTTACCATTAATGATGTGACTTCTCAGAGTGTATGTGAGTCTGGCAGATTCTTCCAGGGATGCAAAAGAGGGTGTCTGAGTCAGCTCAGGCTGGGAGAAGGAACCTGCAAACACAGACACTCACAGGTGATGGGGCAGGGATGGAGTTGAAGTTGTTTGGGTATCTTATCCAAAGCGGTTGACACAGGCCTGGGGGCTGCCCCAGATCACTGAATATGGTCCTCACCTGTGCAGTGAGAGGGGCACACAAGAAGGAGAAGCATCCACAGCATGGCACATACACACCTGCTGACAGCCCACAGCAAGGTCTGGGCTGCCTCAGGCATATGTCATCCCTCCGGTGGCCTCTGGGAGAAGGGGTTGTTCCTCTACATTTGTTTCCCCTACTGGTGATCTGGTGATCTGGTGATCTCTGCTCCACTCTGAAAGGAGTTAAGGTATACACTCAGGTTTTAGACAGAGAGGGCTGGTGGGTGAGTCTCAGATTTTGTCCCCTGGAGTGACTAGGGAATAAGCGGCTGCTGGTTCCTTCCACAGACCTGTGAGCAGCCAGAGATGACACACCTTCTGAGTTCCCAACAGCATCCACAGGTACCTATAACCCAGCCCTGGGGAGTTTGGGTGATTTAAGGGAGATTACATAGAGGTCACCCCCATGCAGACACTCGGGAAAGACCCACAGTGCCCCTTGCTGCCCACTGGCCAAACTTCAACCTCTCAGTGTATATAATGATGGGGCACAGGCCTGAGAGCCTGGTCACTGTGAGTCTTCCAATACCCATGGGCCATAGTCCCTGCTCTGCGCTCAGGTAACTGATATTAATAAACAGCTCTTCCCATTGTGGGAATTCCTAGAGTAGCAGAAGGGAGACATATGGAAATACGACCCTGTATAGGGTGAGTGGGAATGCAGGGAGATGGGAATGCAGAGGGCTGGGAGCAATGGTCTGACCCCTC